TCTAATCAACAACTAGATGATCCTTCAGAAACAGGATAAATCATTTTCTAATGATTGTTTCAAAGATTAAACTGTTTATTGTCTCTGGATATCGACTGTGTTGTGCTCTGCTGCTTATTTTCTTGATGATTGAAATTGTTTTAACGTTTGTATTTTTGTACGAAAGATCTTTAAACTATAATCTTGACTTTCCTCCATGAAAAAACACAAAAGAGACGTAGTTAAGATCAGTGACAGCAGACGGAGAACACAGAGGTCAGATTTGAATCATAGTTAAAAACAGGGATTCTATGATTCTGTGACGCCTCAGTTGGGAAGGAGCAACTTCACCAAAGATTAAATTCGACATGAAAATCTTTTCTGGTAGAGATGATTATTTCTTGGCCTCTGTCTCATCCCTCAACCAAGTAACGTGGAAATCAAACGGACAGAGGCAGAAACATGACCTCCACAGAGAAGTGGATTAATGCTAATGTTGCTCCGCGTCTGGACGTGTGAATAAATCTGTTCATTGGCTCAAAATGGTGAAAAACTCATTTAGAATCGTTTTTTTATCTTATTTTTACTTTACTGTACGAAACGCACGGATCTTTTCTATCTCAGCGAGTTAATGGGACACGACTGCAGGAGGAAGTGAAGCACTCTGATGGCTCTGACTGTACGTGGTGATGCAGCAGAGGTAGATCCATTAAAGTAATCAGGATGGTTTTTCCTGCCTCCTACGGTGAAGAGTCAATCGGTTTTCTGTAAGTGTGCGACCTCCGCAGCGACTTCCTGCAAGTGCACTTTAAAGTTTCAGGTTTTCCTGAGGAGCTCGGATCAGAGCGAGCTGAGTTAAGAGCAAATAAAAACACACATACACACATTTTCCCTCCATCAATCCTCAATACACACATTTTCACACGACCCCTCCGTCGAGAACGCGGCCTCAGACTTCTGAACAACACTGCGCACGAATCCACAAACGCAGACAAATATTTGGCGTTAGTCCAGCGGCGTGTCCTCGATTCAGCCGGCCCGTCATTCTGCAGAGTGCAGAGTTGGACCGCACTATCGATTCCCTGCTTTCTCTTAGGGCGGGAACACTAATCAGTCGCTCAGACAGCCAGGCGGCCGGTTGGCCAGCGAGCCCGGCAATCTGTCAGCCAGATGCTCAATCATCGAGTCGTTCACCTCTGAGGATGTGGTGAGCAAGAGCACCGTGTGTGGAGAGGAGAGAACATCTGAGCTCCGAGCAGGAAACCACATGAGATGAGATTTTCATGTTGAATTGTGTGTTTAGAGAAGCGGCTCCTTCTCAGCTGAGGCGTCGTAGAATCCCTGTTTTCACCAGAGTTACATTCTGACGTCAGTGTTCTCGTCTACAGACGAGGACAAACAGGACAAACAGGAAAGACGATGTGTTTCATAAACATCAGTATTTTGTTCTGTTTTCAGTCGTGATGTTTCGGGTCCTTGATTAACGGAGCGAAGCTTCTGAGCTCGTTCAGGCTGAGCTGCTCCGATGAACCTCTTTCTCCACAATCCTCCTAATTTGGCGAATCCATTTAAGATGCAGAACATTTCCTATTGCTCCCTTTGCTTGTTAAATAAACATTTGATAAAGTCGGAAAGAAAATCAGACATTTAAAGGCTTTGCAATAAAAATGTGTTTGAAGCAACGATTTAAAAACAAAAGTTCTGACAGGTCCAATTCACTCGGACTTGAAACCAGCCTTGAAGTAGAACTACGAGTGGTGGAAGATCTAAATATCTACATTCTTAACACACGTAGGATGTGATGAAGTACAAACATTTTAATTAGAAAATTTAGACTTTTTAAGACCCCTGTCTGTACAGAGATAATTTCATCAATTATACATTTTTATAGATAATTAAAGTGCAAATATATATAAAAACAGAACGATAAAAAAGGATAAGTAATTATTGTACTTGGGGTTTTGTAAATGTGCAAAGTTCAGAGCAGATGGGAGTAAAAATATATAAATATAAATACAGTGAGTGTGTATAAGTGGTTGTTGTTGTTGAGGTGAGATGAGTCGTCCGTCTCTTCCTCTTGTGTCGGTGTTGGTGGTGATGAATCCAGCGTTTGCCAAATAAAATGTTTTACTGGGACGAAGTGAAGAAAATCCAACTTCATCACAACAGTGTAGAAACAAATCGGAGCCGTTGTCCTCGTCTCTCTTCCTCTGCTTTGACGGCTGCTCCCTCAGGGTCGGTATCAGCTCAATAAAAGATCCTCTCATCAATATTTCACACGTACCGACTGACCACTTCACATGAAACGCTGCCTCCCTCCCTCTCTGGCCTGGAAACTCTCTCTCATTCTCTCATTCTCTCGCTCTGTCCGTCCTCCAGCTCTCCTCTCTTTCTTTCTTCTGTTCATCTACCAGTTTGTTTATACTTCTGCTTCCTGTCCACGGAGCTGCAACCTTCACGATCATAAATGCATAAACAGAAACACACACAACTATGGATCTGGTTACAGATCGAGATGACGGGGGGTTATTGTTGTTTGGTCAGATTGTGTACTGCGCATAGTCGGCACGTTCGCTGTGAGCCACCGGTTTGAATCTCGAACAATCAGCCTGTTACATGTCTCTCATCCATGTTTTAGTTTTGAAACTAAAGCCTTTACATTGTGCACAAGACTTCACAACGATAAGTGGAGACGTTTATTTATCCAGAAACCTTTTAGGAGAAGTTTTCATGTTAGTTTTCAAATGTAGAGGAGCTAAAAACTAATTCATAAGGATGAGGAACATCTGCAAACATCTGCTCTTGTTATATTTTCTTACAGGATAAGATCATTTTGTTTTAGGACGAATAAGAAATAAGAATAAAGAGTTTGCTGACGTTTTGTACTCACACACATTGGATTTGTCAAATCTCCTTGAAAGGTGCATATAAATAATATTCTTTTTCTTTGAATCCAGTTTAACATGAAGAAGGTTATCAAACTCTAAACTATTTCACTTTACCTTCCCTCCTGAATCCTTCATTCAGTTGTGGTTTCTTTCTTTCATTAGTCTCCGGCCTTATTTGACTCCTCTTACAAACTTTTCACAAAGAAACGGGACTTTTACTTCTTTCTTTACGAGATGGGCCTAATGGGCTTCATCTCTTTGACTTCTGACACGAGTTAGATGTGAGATTTCTGACTCTGGCCGATTCTAATTAGAAGTGGATTCCCCTGCCAGTGTGCCCAGTAGCTACAGACAGGGAGGAAACTGGAGAGCTGGAGTGTGGTGAGGTATCGTGCTCTGAGGAAGAGGACGGGCGTGAAAGATATTTAAATAAGCCTCTTATACAATCTGATGTCTGGGACAAAAACAGCTCTCACACACACACACACTGCTGGGGGCATGAATACAGTAACGTCTTCTTTATACTAATTATCCGACTCCCTCCACTTATCTGTCACATTTTTAAGACAACATTAAAAGTGTGAAGATTAAAAACGAGACAGAGGGTTGTTAAAAGTCAGAAACTGAGGAAGTGTGAAAGCTCATTATCCAACAGCAGAGGATGTGCTTTTAAAACGCCCGTCGCATGAAATAATAAAAGATTGATCCAAACCAGGAGAGGTGCTGCGAGAGGAAGAGACACAAAACCTGCTCAATTATTTAAAAATAGCACACCATCAGATCACGGAGCATCGGTCCAGCAGACAAGTGAAGCAGCAGGAGGTTCCAGTTTACACACAGAAGAGTCATTAACACAAGAGTTGGAGCTCTTCACCTGGGTGAACGTCCAGGTGAGCTTCATGTGCTTGGTCGCTGCGTAGCTGCACTCCAGGAGGCGGGGTCGGCTGTTCACGTCCACCACGCACTTGTTGTCGTCGTCGTCGATGGTCGGACTCAGGACTCCCAGGTGGAGCTGCTGGGAGCTGGTGTAGTACACGTTCTGCTGGGAAACAACGGACGGGGTTAATGATGCAGAGTCAACGTCTGTCTTCGTGAGGATTTCTTTCGTTTTATCTCCGACATATTTGCACATTTATTTCAGCGACATCAAAGAAATATCTGTGTAAAACTGTTTTGCATGAACGAGCAGCATTCGTTGACGTGCTCCTATTTTTGGCTCAAATTTTAGTTAGTTGGTGTCAAGTGAAAATTGTCGTTTCAGGATCTTCTACCTGATCTTCTAACGAGGTACAGTTCGTCCATACCGACTTTATTTCATGTATGTTACCTCGAGAGGTTAAAAAAAAAACAGAAAGTAGGATTTTAAACTAGTGCATTTCCGGGTCATTGAAAGAACTGATTAGAAAGAATAAAGTTATGAAGAGTGAAACAGTAACAAGACCAAGAATCGACCCCTGAGGCTCCTCGATACTGACGGCTCGGTTGCTTGATTCACTCCATCAGTCAACTCTTTTGTGTTCTGAATTTTTTCTTCAGGAGGAGAAATTCATACAAAATGAAACAGAACAAAGACTGAGACACATCTGTGTTTTAAAATAATGCACCTTCGGAAATGCCACGCTGCATTTTTTAATCATTGCTTGTACTTTCCTTCACCTCGCTTCTCAAATCCACCGAGTCCCTGAACAACAACAACGCTCTCATGTGAAATGTGAGACATAAACAAACCACCTGTAACTGATCTAATTATAAAGCAGGGGGGAGGGAAGATTCAGTGGCAAGAGATGAAGCCGGGCGAGAGAGAGGTCAGGCGGATCCAGGCTGAATCTGAAGCGAGTGCGTTTTGCATACCTGAACAAACAAACTAAAAACACACGAGGACGCGGTGATGAATGCAAACGTTGGCCCAGTTTCGACGCTGAAAAAAAGACGAGACGGAGAATCGCAGAGAATCGAGTGAAGCAAATGAGAAGGATCAAGGTCGACGTGAAATCAAAACAAGCAGCAAAAGTTGAGATCAAGGAGAAACAGCAGCGGCGCCGCTCAGAACAAACGGACACGGCGGCGTGCTCTGACTCTGTGAGCGTGTGAAAACACCTCGACGCAGACAACAACACCGATGAGTGTGTGTGTGTGTGTATGAGCACGAGCACGTGCACTAATACGAGCGATTAAACCTGCGTCTGTGGATAGATTGATGCCTTTCTCTCCTCCTGCTCCTTTAAAGAGGATGAGCACGGTGTGATGTCAGATAACAAACTCCTCGCAGACGTTCACATGAACAAGTGCGGACAGAAGGAAGCCTCCGAGCTCAGAGGATTGTTTTTGGGTGCAGAGGTAACCGCTGTACCACCGTGCCACGTGGGCTACAGGAGTGTCTCGGGGGCCAGGCGGGTCGGTGCGGCAGTGTACCGGATCATCGAGCTTTCAAATGTACTGGTCGGTTTACGCTCCGACCCTCACTTCCTGTCTCCAGCTCTGGTGACAGGAAGTGAGGGTTTTCTCTGCGGCGTGTCTGAGCCCAGCCTCAGGGTGAGGAGGTCGGACACTGAGGGAGCTCGGAGTGAACCCTCTGCTCCTTCGTGGTAACAGGGACCAGCAGGATCCTCCTGGGTGCTTCCACTGGAGGTTTACACATGAAAGGGATAAAGGCCCAGAACTCACTGGAGGGACTACATCTCCCATCAGGCTTAGGAACGCCTCAGGATCCCCCAGGACGAGCTGGAAATACTCATTCTAAGCAGAGTAAAAAAGATGGATGATCATGGTTTTATAGGAAAACTGGTTTTAACGGGTGATTGTTTTTGTCTTTCATGTTATTTCTTTTATCTTAGTTTTGTCTTGTTTTGTTCGGGGCTGCGTTTTTTTAAAAGAACTTCCTCCAGACACAGTTTTATCTTTACTTTGTGTTTCCCCGACCAACACAATCCCAGATGTTGTGTTAGCAAAATGAGATTGTCCTGTCTTCTTTGTTGGTGTGTTAGCTTTTCATCTTTTTACTGTGAACTGGTTCGAGCACGGTCGATCTCATTCACACACTCAGATAACACGAGGTTGAGAATCAGAACAGAAAGGTGCTGCATTAAAAAAGTTATTATCATAAGACGGCGTTTGTTTATACAGGAAGCTTGTTAGTCTGCGACTGATAAAACCAACAAACATGTTCTCTCACACACACACACACACACACACACACACACACACACACA